TCGGGCTCGTGACTGGCTCTGCACGGCCGCCCGCCCTGCCCTGCCCGGCGGGCCAGCGAGGCTCCGCTTCGCGCTCTGAAGATCCCGCTGCCAGCCCTGCCCCGGGGACCGGGCACCGGGCACCCACCTCGCTCGCCGAGCAGAGGAGGAGCCGCCGCCGCCGCAGCCGTGAGCAGGAGCAGGAGCAGGAGCAGGAGCAGGAGCCGGAGCCGGAGCCGGAGCAGCGGCAGGAGCGGCGCCCCGCCGAGGGGCTCCATGGAGCGGCTGCCAGGCGGGGAACGCGGCCCGGCCTCTCCCGCGGGCTCCCGCACGTCTCGTCCTGCCGGCGGCTGTCCCTCCTACGAGCGCAGCCGCCCCAGACCGGTTGGGACGGAGTTTGGAGGACCCCCCCTACTCAGCCGGCTTCACAAAGAGTTAATTCACTGCCCTCCCTTTTAATGACACCGCCCGCAAAGCCTCGAGCAGAGCAGACCCTGTTACTTCTAGTACCCCTCCTTCCCTCCCTCCCTCTTTCCTCACCTCCCCCACACACGCCTGAGAAATGACTCCCCTTTGCTCAGGAAACTTCGCCTGAACCCAGCCACCAAGGGTTGGGTTCAGATTATTCCTAGCAAAGGGAAAAGGTTTTTTGGATAAATGTGGTCTCTTTTATCAGACCCACTCAGTAGTTGGAACAATTGTTCTTTGCAAGCTTTCAGGTACTGTACTTTACAAAGTACCTGAAAGCTTGCAAAGAGTAATTTTGCAACTATTGAGTGGGTCTAATAAAAGATATCACATTTATCCAAAGAACCCTGTCTGCCTCTGTCCTTAGACGAACACCCCCAAAGCACGGAGAAAGGCAGGAACTTCTCTGTGCCAAGTGTAGGCAAAACCCCCAAGAAAAGCAAAGCAAGAAACCTTTAGCTGCCAGGTGGTTAAGTTAAACTTCTGGAGAGGGCTTAAATTTTTTTTTCCACAGATTTTTTTTCCCCTGCCATCATCAGCAGTAAAAGAGAGGTTTAAAGCAGCCAAGAGGGACAGGTACTTTTCACTTGTGGTACAAAAGAAGAGAAGAAAATCAGTAGTGGATACAGGAGTGAGGATAGAGTTCAGCTGTTTGACATACCAATGCTATCTAAACCAGAGTCCTTATCTAAGCTGGCCACACAAACAGCTTGATATTTGGCCCACCAAAAACCCAAAAAAGGATCTAGGGTTGGATGTGTTGCTGCCAAGTGTTCCCAGATAAATGTCAAAGTAGGCAACCATTGATCCTCTGGACCATAGTGTACACATAAGAGATCTAGCTGGGTGCCTGATGAATCTGCTTGTATCAAGTCTTGCAACCATTGCACCAAGACCTTCAACCCCGGATGCCTAGGCAAGAGGGTGGGGGAGTGAAGGCTGCCCAAGACCTACCATTCCAGTGTTTTACTACCCTCCTAGTGAGAAAATGCTTCCTAATATTTAATGTAAACTTTCCTTGCCACAACTTGAGACTGTTGCTCCTTGTTCTGCCACCACTGAGAACAGGCCAGCAGCTCTATCTTCTTTTGAACCCCTTCAATTACCTGAAAGGGGTTCAAAAGAGGATGGCGCTAGACTGTTCTCAGTGGTGGCAGATGACAAAACAAAGAGCAACAGTCTCAAGTTCCAGCAAGAGAAGTTTAGGTTAGATATTGGGAAGGATTTTCTCACTCAGAGGGTAGTAAAACACTGGAACAGGGTACTCAGAGAGGTTTTGGATTCTCCGTCCTTGGAGGTTTTTAAGACCCAGCTAGACAAAGCCTTGGCTGGGATGATCTAGTTGGGATGGTCCTGGTTTGAGCAGGGGGTTGGACTTAATGACCTCCTGAGGTCCCTTCCAACCCTCATTTTTTATGATTCTGTCTCCGCTTTAGACCACTGAGACAGAATTTTCAGTGACTTGATGACTATAGCTTCTGCTAGAGAGCAGCAGATAGGAACTGCTGCTGACTGCCTAATGCCTTAGCGAGGGCATGTTTCTGTGAGCGTGATGTCCCTTTGCCTTTCTCCAACCAAGGAGCACCCACATGGCAGGGTTTTGAGGCACTATACTTGCTTTATTCTGGTGGTTGCAACATTGTGCTAGGAGCTACCCCACCATGTTGCCTCCAGGCCCTCCAGTTAGATACAGTTTATGGCCATAGCCAGGACAAAGACAAATGTCACAGGATAGCCAATAGCACCTGGGAGCATCTGGGGAATGGCTTCCCCTCCCCCCACACTTTGGCCTAAATCCTGCAAACACTCCAGCCTGTATGCAACTTTACCCACCTACACAGTTGGAAGTTACTAAGTTACAGGGTTCAGGCCTGCCTGTGTATCTATCACACCTATGCCAAACGATTTAGTTGAAGCTTGGGAGAATTCATTGTTGCCTGTTAGTTAAAATGCAAGGTTTGGAACATTGTTAACCTCATGTTTGCATTAGTAAGCCCTTACACAAATAGCTACATCATTTCTTTGCCTTGGGACCTCAGGGCATTCAAAAGCTTGTCTAACTCTATCCCAACTACAAAGTTGATCCAATAAAAGATACCACCCTAAGAAATCCTTGCCCCTCAATTTCTGGACCATCACAGCTACAACATCACTCTTATACTACCTTGGGACCGCCTACTCAGTACGAGCAAGGGTGTCACAGTCTTGCTGTTTATTAACTCCTCTCTCTGTTTAGTGGGCAAGGCATTGAGATACCAACATTTAGAATTATCCCCTCTATTGCTGTCCAATCGGTTTATTTTCTCCTTCTTTCTCTCCCTGTTTCATTCTTCTGTCAGTACTCATGCCTGACCAAAATTTTTTATTATTATTATTATTTTTCTCTTATCCTTTCCCTCCAAGTGTGTGTTTGCCCTTTACTTTTTGCTCTCTTCTGCTCTGCTGTCTTCCCTCTTTATTCCTTTCTCTTCTTCCATGGCTTAACTCAGCCCTCAATGGCATTAATGGCAGTGGCATCAGGGAATCTTAGGACACAGCCATTAAGCCACAGCTCTTTTCATGCTGGAGGGGCTGCATAAGGCAGGTGAGTAGAACTGTGTGAGGCCTTTTCTATAACTTATACCAATTAAGTCAGTATAAGGCCCCATGTATACAACCGTTGTTTCAGTACAGTAGTGGTTCATTTCAACTTACCTTCAACATGCATTTAACTGACTTAAGCTAAACTAAAACAAGTCTTGATTAAATCAAAATAAGTGAGTACCAGTGTAACTAAATCAGCTTAAAAATCACACACTGATAGCTTATCTATACCTGGAGTTACTCTTGATCAGCATCATGCATGACTACTCTTATTCCAGAATAACAATTCCTTGTTCCTATTTAATTCCCCCCCCCAAACACTTCACCAACAGTAAACCAAGTTTGTGTAAGTTTGTGTAACAATTAGGAAATATTTCTACAAACCATCACATCAGATATGGTCTGCTAGACATCAGCTTTGCATTGTTCCTAATCATTTTAATAAAAATTTCCAGTATAAATTGGCATAGTCACCTATAATCAGATTCAGCAGGCCAAAGTACACATGGTTCTAATTATTAGCTTCCAACTTTGTAGTAAACCTAAACCATCAGTTTAGGGCCTAGTCCATAGCCCATAGAAGTCATCGAAAAGACTCCCATTGATTACAGTGAGCTTTGGATCAGGTCCTTACTTGTGCAAAATAATGGTTGATGAGAGGGAAACACTGCAGAATTGTAAAAGTTCTTAGGCTCAGAGTCTGGGCAACATTTTTTCTTATATCTGCTTGCAAGGTGCATGTAATCCCCCGTATATTTTTAAACAAATATTTTAAATAAATATTTGTTTCACTTTACAAGAACAAAAAACATTTGCAGAAGCTCGTTAATTACCTAGGGCTAGACCATAATTACCTAGACCAGTAGATGAAGTCATTTTATGAATGCAAGGGTAGAAACCTGTCCATTTTAGATTTTCAAGAGACTCATTAAGAAAAGATACACCGAAGTGCATTTGCAAATATCTTAAAACACCATTGAATCCTTAGCCACACAAAAGTTATTTCACAGCTGATGCTGGACTGTGCATTTCAGCCATTCTGTCATGGTGACAGCTTAAAGTGATTGGAACAAAAGAGTGCGTGGGACAGTCTGTTACTACATCCATGTGTAATCCCATCCCCTGCCCAGCAAGTAATTCTGCCCCAGCCCCCAACCTGGATTTGTCCCATCCTTATTCATGCTCCTCCTGCAGAACTCAGTTCTTGGTTTTCTTTCATTTTCCCTCTGTAGAAAGCAGTCATACAGCATCTAGTTCACATGTGCACACCCCCAAATAATTCAGCTTAAGTGGGTGAGGTGAAGAAAGAATGAAGAGGTAAAATCCATCTACAACAGCTGAAGGATAAACCCTACACCCCTGTTGCTGCTATACCTTTTTATGAGAACTTTCCATACAAATAGTGCCTGTGGTCCTGCCAAACAATTTTCAGCCATATGGTAGATAGCACAGAATAAGGCCCTGTCTTAACCTGTGCATACCTCTATAATCAGTGGAAGTGTTGTTAAGACCTCAGCTAAGAACTCTTGCTGGGAATGAGAAGGTGACATGCTGATATGTATGTCCCTCCTTTTCAATACATGTAAAAACATAAGACTTGCCATACATAACAACATAAGAACTTTACTGGGTCAGGCAATAGGTCTGTCTTGCCCAGTATCATTATCACACAGTGGCAGAGGGTAGATGCTGAAAGGGAATGTGAATTGGGTATTAAAAACAAGCAAACAAGGGTTATTCCCACTGTTCCTCCCCCACTTGCAGCCTTCAGCATTTCAATCTGGGGCAGAAGTTAAAAATAAACCGATTTAACCAAAATAGTTAAATCTGATACTACATCCATCCAGGTTTACCTTAAACTGGTTTCAGTCATTTTGAAAGTGCGTTGTGTGCACTGAACATCTGTTGTGTTACAGATTTGGACCAATTTCCAATCACATATACCAGTTTATGTGTAATTTCTATCCCTAACCTTAAGGTCTAGGACAGGGGTAGGCAAAATATAGCCCACAGGCCAGATCTGGCCATTCAGGCAATTTCATCCAGCCCACAGGTGCCCAACAACTAATTGTACCCTGCCTAACCTGCATGCCTCACTCCCACCCTTGTGCACAGAAGGGCCCAGCCCAGCTAAAACACAGCTTCTGGGCAGGGCTGCTGCTGCTGCCCCTGCTGCAGCTGCCAGGGGACCTGCTTGGCTTCCCCAGTGTCCAGCAGCTCCTCATCTCCCTGCTGCAACGTTTGCTGCGGGCACCAGGTAGGGAAGCAGTGGGGGCAAGGGTGGAGAAAGGGAGAGCTGCAGCTGCGTGGAAGCATGGATCATGGGCCTGGGGCTGGCAGAAGTGTGGAGCCTGTGTCTTGGAGGCATGGTGGGAGCACATGGCTCCAGTGAGCAGGGTGTGGGTGTGAGGGAGGGTGGGGGCATGGGGACCTCT